AGAAAGAAAGGTATGAAGCGATTTTAATCTCATGGTTTAAGGGAAGAGAGGGAGTGTATACACCGACGCCTTCCTTTATTGTTAATGAATAGAATCATGAATCACAAACAAATGTATGTAAATTTATCTTTTATTTAACACTAAACAAAAGTGATCGTATATGATGTGTTCTGATCTGATTATTTGAAATAGATGTACATGAATTGTTGAATTAGTTGAATGAACTGATCAATGGATCAAAATCTTTTCAATTTCTGTTTTTTTTTAAAATTTTTTAAACTCATTGGTGTCATTTTGTGTGTGTATGTGTGTGTGTGCAGCTATTAACAACTGACCATGTTTTTATTTTTTAATAATCATCATGAAAAGTTATCTGTGATCGATTGTTCATAAATCAATATGAGTAGGTTACATTAACTTTGTTCGATTAGATTGTGTTGTTATTAATAGTGAAGTATTTTGTGATTTTGTATATGTTCACTGTAGAATTTGTTGAATAATTGATTAAATGGATTTAATAGTATAAGGTTGTGGAGATTGTTGAGTTTTGGATTTGAGATCATTAATCAATCGATGTTAGATCATCATTGAAAACCAGAAAGCATTGGATGGATATTTCATCCTAGTATAGAACTTATTAGCTTTGGGAGGTGATTCTCGGAGTTCTAGTGAAAAGCTATGATCAGTGGAGTTCAATCTGTGTCGCGTAGAAACTGATATCTACTTCAGTCAATGGAAGATGGATGCGTAATTTCGTGGATTGATTGAACTTTGACAATAATACCGTTGGATGCCGGCTCAGTTGACTAAAGTTCAAGAGTTTGAGCACGAGACTCAAGATCCTGAGTTCTAGTCCTGTATGTAGAATCGTGGATAAACACTGCTGAGGACTCCCATTTTGGGAATAAACGGTCGTCCAGTGCTTCTCAGTTATCATTAGTAGTCGAGCTTAAACCGACTCATGAATTCAAGTGCTTATAATAACTACAATCTCTACAAATCCCATTTCTAAAACAAAAGGTAACAACTACATGACCGTTAGAAAAGGATGGATGGCTATTCATTAACCATAGTAGTTTCTCCAAATTCATAAACACGTACGCATACACACATTTGATGTACGAACATTTGAGCACGACCGTAAATGGTTATATAAAGACGTATGTAAAACGGTCAGGACAGATGATTAAATAGTCTCACACCTCATCACGTGAATCGTCATTTAATATCGTCTACAAAGATAACTGGTTCAAAAGTGGGCTAGACGACCGTTGAAATGGTGGAAGGACTGGCCGATTGTTTTGTCCGAGTATTGAACTTTTCAGATCAACTCATGAATTCGTTTAACTTGATCATATTGGTAGTACAAAAGGCATATTCTAACATTATATTACCTGGCTCTTCATAGGGTTACGGCAGTCACTCTTGGAGCATCTAGTTTATTCCGGACACTGCTCTACGGAAAGCCTCTTTAAGAATTATACATACGGTAGGACGAAATGGCCTTCCAGTGTTTTCATGTTTTCAATCGTGGTTCAACATCAATCAGTTCGTAATCTCAATCAACAACTTTTATTTATTCTGCAGTTATAATACCTATCAAAGGTCATCACTTGTTCACTAGACGATTATTACGTAATCGAATATATATTTGAAACCCTTTTATGTTCACGTATTCATTCCATAAGAACATGTGATCAAAGCCTAGACATGATGATGTAATCGGAAGGTTGCAATATGAGATTACGTAATGTGAATATTAACAACACAATTATGAAGTTAGCAACAAATTATTATATGAATGCAGTGAAATAAACAAAAAAATATTTTTGTTACAATAATTATAGGCAATAAAGGTGTGAAATTATATAAGATATTGATATCAGACACAATTATGATAAAATGAGACGGTGGGGGGATTACAAAATGCCTCATACTGTCTAGACTTTATTCATAATTATGTTTTAATTATACATCCCTATTGCCTTATTAATTACCTTCAATTATTTTAATCATTTACATTATGTAATCTTATATTGTAATCTTTTGATTACATCATCATGTCTAGGCTTTGATCACATGTTCTTATGGAATGAATACTTAAACATAAAAGGGTTTCAAATATATATTCGATTACGTAATAATCGTCTAGTGAACAATTGAGGTGGTGAAATCATTGTCCATTTTCAAGTAGTGACAACATATCAATTTCAGGTACTTAAAAAAAAATAATTAATTAGCCCCTTTCTATCTCATTATAGAATACTAATTTAGGAGATAAAAAAATGACTATAAATACGATTGTACAGTTTAAATAAATGAAGTTGTCGACAAGTAAATTTGTTTGACTAGATTGCATTCCTTCTGCTGCTTCTCCGTCATCATCATCATCATCATCAAGGCGTGATGGGTTTCTTCGGTTTTCTACTAATGACAGTATTTCAAGCAATTGTTTCGTTAATCCCCACAGTGATATCGATTGTACAACGCTTTAGACAAAAGAATATTAACTCATTTTAAATGAGCTGTCATAATATCGCCGGTATAAATGTGTTTGCAATTTGACAATGGTATACTTTAAATGAAGTATTAAATGAGAATATGATTGTTAAACTGGTATGTAAACTAAATGTAACCTTTAATTAATTAATTAGTTAATAAAATTTCTATAATGAAATGATGTTCTTTTTTGAAGATGAATCTTTCGATATTACTAAGTTATATTTGAATTGTTTATTGTTTCATTATTCACATTTAGTGGGTTATTTGTATGATGGGTTTCTTTCTCCGTAAGAACAATTGGGAAAATCTCATTTTTACTGTTAGGGTATTACGAACTAGTATACCGTGTATCTGTTCATTCTGTTTTGAATTGTTGATGGGGAATATGGCCTCTAAAGAAATTCATAAATCTCTTGAGTATAGTTGGACAACCGAAGGATGACTGTAGATGATACTCACATCCAACCAACATCAACACCGAATGACTCTGAATCGATCACAAGAGGGACAAATGCACTCACTCTTTGTCTTCCTTTAGGTCTAATATTTTATTGTAAAAAGTTGAATTTAACGTCACTACGTGAAATGTTGACGTTATTGAATTCTCTGAGCGGAATTGCTTGTTGTGTAATTTCCGTTGTCGTTTTAAACATTGATATCAGTGCCTAATGAAACGATTGTTGAGAACCTACTGAATAATCAATTCTCATTGACTTTGTATATTTTCAAATCAACCTTATACAACTGTTCACAATTCTCAATGCTTTAGGATTGTTAATATGTGATTCTTCATAAGTTCCTATTCATGACTTCACTAATGTTAGAACCTAGGAAATTCAGGCTTCTCTTTAAAAACTTAAGCATTGAGTTGGTATTCACTTTTACAAGCTTTCATCTCCAGTGGACATATGACTTTTCTACGTTGTTATTGAATGCCATCTCACAATTAAACGATTGGAGTCCGATGCACGTGCATTATCACTAGATTTCCTGGACTCATAATGGTCTCATAATGTGCACATGATTATTAGTACACAGAAGATTGTAGTTACTGGCTTTAATTATACAACTATTCAATCAACAACGACATTTGGAAAATATCTTAAGGATATAATTAACAAGTAATTTTACTAGATTAAGTACACAAAATAAATATCAAAATAGGGAGTTGTGGAGATTGTAGTAATTTTAATTGAATTCATGAATCAACCACCAGAGGATGGTAGCTAACATTTGTGATCCCGAACTAAGAGTATTCGAACCCAAGACTTTCGCTCTAGCCAACAAACGATTAGTTCTTAGACAATAGACACGCATCTAACAGTGATAATGTCTAACTTCAACCATTGTACCAAGTTGCGCGACAATTATTTGAGGCTGATGACTTTCTCTTTCTGAAACAAATTATCTCCACTAGTTACGGCTTCTCACTATAACTTCAGGTAAATTCATCATGAAACTAGTCACTAGTGATCACAGAATTAGATTTGTAGAGATTGTACCAATTTGATAAGTCTAATACCACCATTCAGTTATTCCAGTTTTTGTCAATCATCAACTTCTATAGACCACTACTATTACTGTTAACATTACAAACACATACATTTAAGTGTATATACTTTTTTTAAAACGATTTTCAATCAAAATACAATAAACACATTGAACATTGAATAGTTCAGAATATCAAAACAAGAAAACAAAGAATAGAAATAAATAAAAAAGCACACAGTTAAATGAATTTAAATCATATACCATTATGAAATAGTAATGATGATGATCAATATAGTTTGATAAATGATAATAAAATGAACAAAAAAAAGAAATGTGAGAAGGAGAAAGCGAGTTTATCATTATGTATATCTATATATGTAATATATATATATCAGGACAGATTAGGTTGGAGAATACTAGTCGACAGTCTATGCTCCATTGGGAGTAATAAGCGTAAGTAATATGTATATATGTAATATATGGAACTTATGATTGTAAATATAAGTAATGTGTAGCATCATTCAGAAATGGAATATCTGTGAACCGAAGATTAAGAAGATTGAACTAAAGAAAGAAAATATAACTGAAAATAATCAACACTGTAATAAGAATGAAGGTAAAGTATACTTTGTTCAAAACAATTCAAACTTGATATGATCTTTACATTTGATTGAGCTAATATATGATAATGCATTGATCATTGAATTCTTCATCTCTATCATTTCTTAGTTCATGATATGTGTATAGTAATGGTTATATATATATCTACATATAGCTGCCTATTACTTATTATCATAATGTAATCATTATTATTTTGTTGAAGTGAAGGTTTGAAGAGAACAATATTAAACATTGAACATTCAAATGATTGAGAATTAACATATTTATATACAAACTATATCAGTAATAAAGTCTATAAAGAAACCTACTTCATTATAAATGTGTAAACAAACTAAACACAATAACACAAACATACTTGTGAATCATAGTCAAATGGGTATTATGATTTATTCTTTCTTTTTTCTTTTCTCTTTTTTACATTGTTCACATTCGGATATTTTTAATAGTTCTCTAGTACATTTTAATCCATTACTTGATATTGGTTGATGATTATATATTTCTGGTTTTGATAAATCTTGTGATGTAACACAATGAGCTTGTGGACCATTATTTGGTTTAAATACAAAATCCCATAAAACCTGATCGAAACAAAGTAAAATAATATTAAATAAGATGAATGACTGTTAAATTTATCTATATTGGAAGCTTGTGATGATTATCATGAAATAATTGAAGGTATTGGATAACATGGATCAAAATTTGTCTTAATACTGGCGTCGATGTTACTTACTTACACCTGTTACTCCTTGTGAAGGAATATAGGCCGCTCAACAGCACTTCCCATTCAACCCTGTTCTGGGCAACACTTTCCAACTCTTTCTAGTTGTTATTTATCCTTTGCATATCTGATTCTATTTCCCAACGTAATATGTTCTTTAGCCTTCCTCATTCTCTCTTCCCTTCAGGATTTGAAGTTAGGGCTTGCCTCGTGATGTAGTTTCATGATTTGCCTAATGTATGACTGGTCCATTTCCAACGTCTTTTCATAACTTCCTCCTCAGTTACAAGTTGTTTTGTCCTCTGTCACGGTAGGCCTTTGCTGATGGTATTCGGCCAAGAGACGTTGAGTATCTTACGTAGACAAATATTTATAAATACTTGTACCTTCTTGATGATCTTTGTAGTAGTTCTCTAAGTTTCAGCACCGTACAGTAGGACTGTTTTGACATTCGTTTTGAAGATTCTGACTTTGATGTACCTATATCTTATCTGGAGTTTTAAAAGTTATAACATGTGATTAAATTTTGAATAAATTCATTTGAAGTTTTAGTTGAGATCTGTAAGCCTACAGTATGGATTGGATAGACTATTAATTAAAATCGGATAACTGTAAGCTGATTGAAGTTTGAAATGTCAACTTTTGAAAGTACTAACTGATGAACGAAATAATATTATGACTATAGTGAAATTGGGAATTCTTCAGTCATTCAATCTCTGTAAAATCATTAATGTACTCTTCTAAATCCTCGATAACTCGAATCTAGACGAACTCAAATTCATACTCAAAATTGTCAGTTTGTGTTGAAATCTTTAAAACCATAGATCAAATCTTATATTAAGCGTAAGTAGATAGGTAATATATATGAATATATATGTTTGTATTAAAATTCCATAGAATACAAATAAGGGAAGTTCATTGAATACTTATGTGTAAATTAACTATGATTAAAATGAAAATTTAGTAACCATGATATGAAGATATATGTATACAGCCAGTGTTTGAATCAGTGATCATGTGTGAAATTCAGTACATGCTATGTATAACTGATAAAATGTGGTTAAATTTGTGATGTAACGGTTAAATAAAAATGTTTCCCTCCTTGTTACGATATACAACTGTAATATGATAATACGATCGGTGATCAACATTTTGCTAACACTAGACTTTATAATTGATTGATACCCAATACACAGATGGGAACACAATATATTTATGTCTAGTAACAAAGATTTGTAGTATAGATTAGACAATATTTTATTCAACACAATAACAAACAGTCTACACTCCGTGAGTTCATTTTAGAAATCAACAATAGGTGAGAAAATCTGTGTATGTTAGTTCATCCTTGTTAGTTGACAATCTGGTTTTATTTTTTTGACGAAGAAAGATGAATATTTATATATGAGTGATGTATATATATATTTTAGATTCGGTTGACTAATCTACACACTACTGCTTTTATCACTCGAGTAACAGTTATTGAGCACAGATACAAAAAGTGTAGATGTTAGTAGGATACTCGAACAAGCAATAAACGTCGACAGTATAATTTATAAACCAACCAATCAGATTTCAGTCAGTCAGTCAGTCAGCTACAACGTAGGACCAGGCACATATGTGCATCGGTCCAGGTTGCCATATCGCATCAGTACAACAAGATGAACACCGGATTCATAGCAGTGGTTAGGTCAAAGGTGGATATATATAAGAGAAAGATTGCATATAGATATATAGTACAGGAAGGAAGAATTGGTTCGTAGAAAGAAAGGTATGAAGCGATTTTAATCTCATGGTTTAAGGGAAGAGAGGGAGTGTATACACCGACGCCATTGTAATCGATTCTGAGCCAATCAGATTTAAGATAGAGAATCATGATTTTTTGGCGTGGAATTCATTAATCCTAATGATTCAATGACATTTTGACTTTGCAACTGATGCTAGTTCGTGATCGAAATACTAACACTAGTTCCCAATTCTTCGTGTGGTGTATACTACTTATCTCTGTCAACATAAGTAGCATGTAACACCAAACGGAAGTGGAAAACCTGGCAGCAGAAGGCTAAGAAGATCGAATGGACTGGAACAGAAACGGAAATACAAAAGATTTGTGAATTGGAAGAACTATACAGAATGTGAAGGATAAATAATGGAATTTTACAAATGAAGTGTTTAATGTATGGTTCACGTATTTTATCAAGATATTTTGATTTCTCGTTCACATTAATTTATAACCCTCTTATAACGCTAACAGGTTGATAGGTATTCTTAAGGCCATTCTAGCGTCATTCAAGGGTCATCCGTAAACTGTAGTCACCTAATAAACAATCATCCCCTCAAATGCCTTAGTACGGTCAAGAGTGCGGAGAGTCCACCCACCCTCTCGAAATGCTCTCTCACGACCACGCGTATATAGCCTTTGCCAGGGAAGTCCTACTCATTGCCTTCTCGTAGCGGGGGTGTTGTTTACGAAAATGAGAGGACGAAAAGCGAATGTCCGGCACTTTAATCGGGTTGGTGGACATGGAGAGTTCATCTAGGGGGAGTTTGAAAACCCTGATTCCAAACCAATGGTCCACATGGGCTGGCTCCAGTATCCTGAGTGAACAAATAGCGTATGAACCAATTATTGGTCACCGGCTATCATGGAATCGCATCTCCTCACGTCGCTTCACTGCCTTATGTATCAGAACTTTAAGTCAAGGGCTCGGAGTGTGGCCTCCTAAGATAATCACCTGCTTCGGTTTGGGCACCTGGACAGTATCACAACCCTCACACAATAATAATAATCATAAAACAATCATTCAACTAAATGAATTAAAAAAAACAAAACTCAACAACAACACCAACAATAAACACCAACTTACTTTACACAATGATGTATGATATGGTAAATGATCATAATATTCACTAGCAATCTCTTTTAATTTAGGTAATTTTGTATAAGCAATATATGGAAAATCATGATGTTCAACATGATAACCTAAATTATACATTAAATAATTTGCAATACCATAATATGAATGTGTTGCTTGTTGATCAATAAACAGATAATGTTCACTTATAAAATGACCAGTTAATGGATGTAAACCTAAACCAAGTAATGTACCAATAATGAAATAACATAATGTCCATATCCCAAAATAATACCAAACTATTATATCGAATGTAATTTGAATAAGAAAATTAATTATTTCCCATAATGTTAATGGTAATGGATGTTTTATGAAAGGACGAAATGCATAAAATAATGGATGAATAATAATCCATATAAAACGACTTATTGGATGAGTAAATAATTTCACTTCTAAATTTAATGGCATATCGGCATCACCATTTTCATGACCTAACCATCTAGAAAAGAAAAAGAAAACGATAAAGGAAAAAAATGTGATCGATTGGTTGAAATCTACTGTTATAGAGTATAAACTAATTACTAGTTGAATAGGAAATTAGGAAAAAGTTATTGAAAGTGAATAGGATATACATTGTGGAATTCATGAGGTAAACCTTAATTTGAAATACTATAACAGGTGGCCTGCTTGAATATCTGGGCTACCTGTTCCTCCGATCTAGATATTTCATCAAGTTATCTATTTTGTTGATTGTTTTAGCACATCATTATGTCTATTATGCGCACAATTTATTCAGGCGCGTTTATGAAAAGTTTACAAACTTTCGCTATACGTGATACAAAAAGGTACAATCAGCGACATCATGTTGGCTGGCAATATGCATTGAAACGAATGAACATTAATCAAATGTGGATTACCAAACTCCTAACATCTAACTGGTCATCATTGAAAATTTATCGTCACAATCGATCAAGATATAAGAAAAGGGAACTTGTTGAAATACTTTATGCTGAGAATTCTATGTTGTACCAAAAATATAATGTTGAATAAAGCTTCTAATAATAAATAAATAAATAAAAAGGAAAAGAGACGAATAGAGTAGGGAATTTGATAGAGATATTGAATATCGTGAGTGGTACATTGTAACTATTGGAAGTGTGAAGTCGGTATGGAGTTTATACTTCATGATGGGTAATAGGCTTAATGAACTTACTAAGTATATACATATATTTCCTGGTCTAAATTAGAAAAAGGTAGAAAGTGGTTTAAATTAGACACTATCACCATTGGATGCTGGCTCAGTGGTCCAGTAGGTTAAGCGTTCGTGCGCGAGATCGAAGGTCTTGGGTTCGAATCTTGTGATCAAGGTCGTGGGTGCACACTGCTGAGGAGTCACACAATAAGACGAAACGGCCGTCCAGTGCTCCCAGGTTTCCAAAGGTGGTCTAACATCAATCGGTTCATGATCTCAATCAAGAAATTTATGGTTTATATCATGAACAAACTTTAGTTATTCAATCACTAAAAGCCAGAAAGTACTAGACAACTATTTCATTCTAGTGTGAGACTTCTTATCAATGTGAATTCACAATCACTTGAGAGGATCAAACTTTGGACCAGAGAAGTGTCACAGTGATCGCCTAGACATCAAACAACCGAGTTGAAGTTCAGTGGTTGACATACTAATAACAACCACGAGCTTAATGGTAGTAATTTACGAGAGATAACTTTCGGATTTATAGTGAGAAACTGTGACCAATGGAGTTAGACGATGTGGAGTGTGAATGAATTTCCATCACTCCCATGGGAAGATGGTTGTGAATTATCGTTACACCAGTGGATGTCAACTCAGTGATCTGGAGGTAAGGTGGTTACCACAAGACCCGAAGACTCTAGTTTTCATTCTTACTGAGACTGTAGATGCACACCAATAAGATGTCTCATACTATGAAACGCAGCTATTCAGTACCTTTTAGTTTTTTATGATTTTCCAAGTGAGGTCATTTGTGATGTGAACTAAAAGTTAGTCATTTACACAAATCCTGTCATACTAATATATCTAATTTATTCTTATTGTAGAGTTATGGCTTGTTTACTAGCATATTCCTCTCTTTCTTCGATAAAAATTTATATGTTTCATACGCATGGAAACTACACACTCATCACTTAATGGAGAAGTTAAAACCTGATAACTTAGATGAGGGAATATGACAAATTTTTGGTTGTTATGTATTATAAAGCAGATATCATTTACTTAATTAAATCTAGTTGGACGTCACCACTGAAAGCTAGGAAGCATTGGATAGTTTCTTTGTCCATAACTTCAACAGAGACCAAATCTAAAATTTTTGGGCCCCGCACCCAGTGCTTAAACTATTAAGGGGCCAAAAGATAGACATTGACCAATAGTAACGCTTCTTAATTATTACTGATTATCTAATCACATTCAAACTGTTGTGTGAAACAATTTCCCTAACGCTATAATAATAACAACAATAAATATAATTTTATAGAACACATGAAGTGTGGCTAACACTGAAATCAAGGAGCTCATTTTAGTTCTATTAAGAACTTATCAGCTAGGTGTACCTCTATCAGAGAGTTGATGTTCATTCCGGGACTCGAACCCAGAACAGTTCTCTTTAAACATTGGTGTTATCCAACCTGACTACTGAGTACAAATTCCATTACTAGTTACATTTCATCTATTCTATGTAATATAGTATCATAATCGTTATATCAAGACAATCAGGACATAATTATATTACTTATAAGTAATATAATATCAATAGAAATTATCTTACCTATGATGAGTTTGATGATATTTTCTATAAGATATAGCAATAGGTAAACCCATTGGTAAATTAATAAATATTGAATATAAACGATTTGCTTTACCATATTTATGCCCAAATACTAAATTATGTCCAACTTCATGTATAGCACAACCAAGTGAATGATTAAGTGTTCCACTGATTGTATATGTTAAAAATAACCATATTAAGAATGGTGGTTGATAAATTGATATGTATACAGCTACAATAAATTGTAAGAATACTTCAAATGAACTAAAATAAGCCAATTTAATATCTGGTCCCATTAGATTTTTCACTTCTGGATATTTTGATAAAATTTCCTTGAAAAAGAGAAGAAAGAAAAAAGGAAATAGAGGAAGTAGAGAAAGTAGGAGATTATTGGCATAGGATTGGGGAGATTGTTGAGGCTCATTGAAATTATGAACTGATCAGTGTTAGACTACCATTGAAAACCTAGAAACACTGGATGACTGTTACGTTCTAGCATGACACTCCCCATCGGCAGTGGACACCCACGGTTCTGCATGCTAGGCTCGAAGCCCGGACCTTCAGCTTCGCATAAGAACTTCTCAATCACACCAGAACTCTGAGAGTTACCTATTAAAGCTAGTCACTAGTAAGCACATGATAACCATCAGTATAGAGTTCTAGTGAGAATCCGTGACGAGTGGAGTTCAGTCGTGTCAGGTATGAGATCGCTATCTAATGACTAGTAAAGGTCAATTATAGTCAGAGTGAGATGTTAGATGATCAACAACACCATAAATTGCTAAGAGTAAAAAGTTTGGATCATCGAATTCCAACGGTTTGGATTACCACTTTGTTGATATTCAGGATTAAATTTTAATAAGTTCTAGTTGGGATATGTGCAACCTGTATGGATCCCATTAACACATGTCATGGAAGTTATTGGCTATAATGTATTGGGGAGCTTAGTAGATAAAAGATTTACATTTGAAGAAATAGTCACTGACTGCAAGTCCCATCTTGAAGATTAATATCAGGATATAGGTAGATTCAGATAACGAGTTTCAAATTGTACTAATTAGGTGTTCTGCATTGATTGTCAATTGTATTGTGTAAAACAAACGTGGTGATCGTTATGAGACCCACGTACTATTGGAGTATTGATTTCGTATAGGAGAATTATAGCAGAAAATTCTCGAGGTTATACAAGATAGTCATCATTTATTCCTTAGTTTTTGGAGGTTTTACAACTATATTTAATTTAATTCATACTTTAAGAACTAGTAGTGTATCAAATTTCAACCGAGTTCAAAGTTTAAATCTTGAACACTGGATAATGATCTTACTATTTAATGTGAGCAAAACCACAATATGAATTCGTCATTAATGGGCAAATAAATAAAAAATGATAAAGTTTGAAAAATGTTCTCTATTAGAATAGAATCAGAAGTTTTTGTGGATATCATAGTAATTTCAATAGTTGAGATTACGAATCAATTAAAGCTAGACCACCATAGAAAACATGGAAGCACTGGACGGCCGATTCGTTCTATTGCAGGACTCAGCAGTATGTAACCACGATTCCGCCTTCTGATACTAATCAGCACATGCGCACTAGTAATTGGCTTCAAGAAGTATTTCCTGGAGTTCTAGTGAGAAGCAGTGATCAGTGGAGTTCAACAAAATGGTCTTCCAGTACTTGCAGGTTTTCCATGGTGATCTAGCTTCGATTGACTCACAATCTCAACTGTTAAAATAATATAATAATCAAGATCTATGCTTAACAAATTCGTGATAATTCATAATAACTAACTTTAATTATAGTGAAAACATGGACAATATAACAAAATACAAATCAACAAAAAGTCTACTCAATAGTCATAAGTAATGATGATTAGAGATAGTTAAAAGTTTTAACTTTCATTGATAGTTGACCAGAAAACTTCACTTCTAACATTTAATTCAACTTAAACAAAATAATATAAACTGTTCACTTAGTATAACTTGTTATTGTCTGAATAAATTCTTATTCTATCTTTAAGAACTCATCTTAAATTATCCATAAACTAAACTATTCATTATTTCAAACATATATGCAAATCTAAATGACAATGATGATGATGGTAATGAACTTAAAAACATGTACACCCATTTGGTTTGATTGTATCAATAATTCATACTGTATTTTATGAATGAAACTAAAACAAGTTCAAATGAGTTCAACCATGTCTGTTGTGAGATAGTAACTCATTGAACACAATGGTGGATGTGTCGCTCAATTTCGTGGATTAATTGAAGTTAGACATTAACACCATTGTATGCCAGTTGGCTCAGTGATCTAGAGGTTGAGCGTACGCACACAAGACTGTTATGTTCTGGGTTCGAATCTTGCAAGACGGGATAGTGGGTGGGCATTACTGAGGAGTCCCACAATAAAACAAAATGGCCTTCCAGTAATTGCAGGTTTTCCATGATCTTAACTATTAAAATAGAATAATAAATATTCTTTTAATATGTTTATATGTGTATTTCTTAAACAGTTGATTGATAGTATTTTGTAGATTGTCCTAATTCTAAGCCCTCATTTTTTAAAATTTTTTAACACTTTATAGATTATTCTTATCGTAATCTATAAACTTATTATTCAATTTTAGATCATAGGTGTTCTAGTTATCTACAAATTGAGATTTATTATTCATTATTTGTCATGATCCATGGAATTTACATGTTCACTCATATACAATTTAAAGTTTGAATCATAAAGAATAGTACAACATGATTGTTTGATATTTTGTAGTTTAAAGAAACAAAATCAAATATCACATAGACTACTAATCCTCTCTTTAGCATATAGAATAACTGAGTTCCTGGCCGAATGATTAATAGGACACTGAAGAAGAAAATTAATGATTTCTATTTCATTTCTATGCGAAAAACGTAGATCTTAATATACCAAACTGAATGTTCCTGAACAATTGTCTTTTAGTTACGAAAAAAGCATCATTAATATAGGTACGTAGGATAAAATAATAGTGATGTTGATTAAGAGTGAGCTATCTACTGATAGCATAAGGAAATGGTTGTACCATATCCTGAATCGATTGAGGTTAAATATGTAGATTATTGAATGGTAACTTAGTGGTTTAACCTAAAGATTCCGGGATTCAGTCTCAAGTGCAGTCGTGAACTCACTTTGATATGTAGTCTCATACTAGAATGAAACAACTCATCAGTGCTTACTGATTTTTATTATTTGACCAACTAAGACCAGTTCAAGATGTAAACTATAAAAATCAACTGTCACCACAAGTTTGATAAATTGATGATTGTCAGGTTCCACGTTTCACATTCTCAACTCAAACCCTCAACAAAAGGTCTATATATTGAAGAATCGAATTTGGTTAGTTATGGAAATAATTCTATACTTTTATAAGTTCAGGACTTCATTTTTCAAAAACTTAATTTAGAAATAAAGAGAATGAAGGTCAAGTACAATAAAATTAATTTGAACAAAGTACGAATTTCTATCGATTTTATTAATCATATTTCTAACTGAACATTAACAAGTCACTTTATAGGTACTTGAAACAGATTACCAGGAATCGAACCTAGGGCTTTTAGGCATATATGGTCGGGCCACGTGTTACGTATGCCTGAACTACGATTACCACGACGCGCAATGCTGACTTGTGTAGGAGATGGCTGGAAGAAAGTTAAGGGCGACCAAATCAAAACGTGCCATCAGTTATTGAAGTCACTAACCTATATTCTTAGCCATTTTCGTAGATGCAGACTACTTGGTTGCGCTCCACGTGACTACCGTAACCAATGATTGGAGACTGTGTGACATGGCTCAGAATCGATCACAATGGTGTAGGTGTATACACTCTCTGTTTTCCCTTAAACTATGAGATTGAAATCGCTTCATATCTTTCTTTCTACGAACTAACTGCTTCTTCCTGTACTATGTCCCTATATGTAATCTTTCTTTTATATATTATCACCATTGAATTAACTACTTCTATGAATCTGGTGTTCGTCTTGTTGTGTAAATGAGGTATGGCAACTTTAACCGGTGTATGTATGTGCCCGGTCCTATGTTGTAGCTGACTGACTGAAGCGTATATTAAGACAAAGAGCTATAGATTACTTTCTGAATTTCACCAATTCTTTTATCAAAATCAATCCTTGATGTAAAACTTAAAAATATACTTCAACAATGTTCACAACATACTTAAAACAACTACAATCAAAGTATCTTCCAATTATTCATTCATTTGAACTTGTTTTAGTTTCATTCATCAAATACAGTATGAATCATTGATACAATCAAACTAAATGGGTGTACATGTTTTTAAGTTCATTACCATCATCATCATCATCATCATCATTGTCATTTAGATTTGCATATATGTTTGAAATAATGAATAGTTTAGTTTATGGATAACTTAAGATGAGTTCTTAAAGATAGAATAAGAATTTATTCAGACAATAACAAGTTATACTAAGTGAACAGTTTAGATTATTTTGTTTAAGTTGAATTAAATGTTAGAAGTGAAGTTTTTCTGGTCAACTATCAATGAAAGTTAAAACTGTTAACTATCTCTAATCATCATTACTTATGACTATTGAGTAGACTTTTTGTTGATTTGTATTTTGTTATATTGTCCATGTTTTCACTATAATTAAAGTTAGTTATTATGAATTATCACGAATTTGTTAAGCATAGATCTTGATTATTATATTATTTTAACAGTTGAGATTGTGAGTCAATCGAAGCTAGACCACCATGGAAAACCTGCAAGTAGTGGAGGACCATTTTCTTTTATTGTGGACTCCTCAGTAATGCGCATCCAATATCCCGTCTTGCAGGATTCGAACCCGGAACATAACAGTCTCGTGTGCGTAAGCTCAACCTCCAGATCACTGAGCCAACTGGCATCCAATGGTGTTAATGTCTAACTTCAACTAATCCACGAAATTGAGAGACACATCCACCATTGTGTTCAATGAGTTACTAACTCACAACAGACATGGTTGAACTCCACTGATCACTGCTTCTTACTAGAACTCCAGGGAATACCTCTTGAAGCCAGTCTTGCTATCCAGTGCTTCCATGTTTTCTATGGTGGTCTAGCTTTAATTGAATCATAATCTCAACTATTGAAATTACTATGATATTCACAAAACCCTTCTTGCATTATATTATTAATTACATTTACTAATGTATCCATAAATAATTGAATATCCATTTCCGGTTATCATAAGGACTCAAGTCATTTTAAATGCTCAATTGTTTAATTGACAACGTTTCACTTTAATATGAATTTGATATTAACATTTTTTAAATGAAACATTCAAAGACTTTGTTGTTGAATGTTTCATAGCCATAGATACACAGATATGTAAATTATTATGTAATCAAAGTTTAATCACCCACTTTATAAAGAAAACTAGCTATTTTTCTCTCATTACCTTTTAAAGAACATTCACAACCATATGATGTCTGATTAAATCTTAGAAACTGTTAGATCACACACTGTTTTATAAGATAGTGTTGTCCAGGATCAGACAGTTGTTGGTTCAAATATATATATATATATATATATATATATATATATATATATATATATATATATATTGTAGTGGACGCTACTCATAAGGATTTCTGTAAGTAGTGTGTATCGGAACGCGGCGTCAAAGTTGCATCAATTGTTGAACAGAGCGAAGTGTTCAAATGCATTGAAATGATGGTGTTGGCAATACACTTGAAGGTCAGTCGAGAAGACAATTCAGATTATAGAACACACCTGGAAGATGTAAACGGACGGTTGAAGGCTATGTATACGTATTATTATATAAATACTTTGTAACTTCTCCCAACTGATAAGTTAACCCCTGATTATTGTCGTGTTTTACTGTACCGATATACATACACTAATTAAACTAAAACGAAGATTTATAGTTTCGGATGATGATGTCGGTAAAGATCCATTTTCTGAGCTGGATAGTTTAATTGAATGATAATATTTTTTCGATAAATTTAACAAGGTGCAAAGAACAAAGTAATAATAATCATAATCAAATATTCGATAACATACTTTTCGTCTTGATACATGTGGCTCTTCATCATAGCTCCATTCATCTTCATCATTTTCCATACGAAATAAGTAAGTAACACCACGAAAAAAACTCCATGATTCTGATGTCACTGGAAATATAAGTTGAAATGAATAAAATCAGTATACATATCATTGATTGGGGTAAAATATATTGATCAATATCACTTATTATTATTCAAAAGAATGAAATTTAGTCAAAGGGAGATTTGGGATAGGGACGTTTCATATATATATATATATATATATATATATATATATATATATATATATATATATATATATATATATATATATATATATATATATATATATATATATATATATATATATATAAGAAAGATCATTTGAAAGTGAGATCTGAATGTTTGTAATCTATGCGATGTAAAATATCGCTTAGATTTAAAAAAAGTAATGAGCAATTTTTAATACTATACACTGACAATGATCATGAGTTCACTTGCGATTAGCTTCAAGAGAAAATTTTCGTAGTTCTAGTGAGAAACTGTGACCAGTGGAGTTTAATCGTGTCAGGTGTAAGGCAGCTAGCTACCCACCGAAGACAATGGAAGATATCGTGGGTTAATTGAAGTTAGACATCAATACCGTTTAATGCCGGTCTAGTGGTCTGGAAAGTTAACGTTTGCAGGTGATATCGAAGGTTCTGTGTTCCATTCACGTATGAATGTGAGGACGTAGATGTACACAACCGAAGAGTCTCATACTATGATCATGAACCCTATACTGATAAATAATAATCTAGACGGTGTATTTTTTTCTTTTGTATTAACAAAAAGTAGTCAGTTTAGGCTCCTGATGGATATGGCTCACTAATATCTGGACTATTTTTACCCTGTTTTAATAAACACATTGAATTTATTGTTATTTACTCTTAGTTTAGTAAAATGACATATTTTTCATTGTCTTTTATTTATCATCATTGTTTACACATCCAACTCATACTCACTTGCCTTTATAAAACCTATAAATTATATAGCAAAGTAGTAATAGACAATAAACTGATGTGTATTAAACATTAAACAAGTTAGTAACACAGATAATCATAATGAATACAAATTAATTGTTAATCATGATAAACAATATGTTGGTAACTATTGAACAAATAGTAAACCAAACAATTCATTCAAAAGTCTATGAAATAGATAGATAGATAGATAGGTGTATAAAACAAAGACTATTTAAAATCTACACACCCATTATTTATTTTACTATAGTTACCAGTTCAAGGTTATGATGCAACCCATATTACCAGTTTTTTTTAATTCTATGAATCTTATGCAAATCCTTCATCATCTTTAAAATTATCACATAATTTATATTATCTGTCTCTGAACTTCACTCAACTATTGCATCGCCCAACCCTAATGTTTCCTTGATTCTAACACCAAATAATCTCTGACCTTTGTATAGTTTACTTGAATGTTTCTATTGATGTTTAGAACTACAATTGATCTGCCTATTAAAGTGGATACTATGCGTATTGCCCCGATATTGCCTTAATTCACAAGCATTATAAACTAAGTGGGTAAAGCGATGGTGAACAGTACTAGGTTCGAGTCACAGAGTGAATATCAACTCATATGCAGGCACATCCAGTTGACGAGTCTCAAACAGAATGAAATGCGCGCCCTGCACTCTATTGCTAGCCACTATCCATAATTGCTTATAACTTTTGATCTGTGATTGCATATATATAGTTATTATTGGTAATCCTTGTCATTCCAATTCATCGCATTCTCTTATGTTAATTGTTCCACACTATATCTTACTTTAATGTAAAATTCTAATACATATTTGGTTGCAAGCAGCTGATGAGGTACCACGAAATATAGTGAATCCGTATTATTTTGCATCAATGTTTGTTCTGGCTTTATTTAAGTTATGGAGTAAATTGAGTTTACATATAGCTGTTCGGAACAAAATACTTTGATAAGTATCAGTTATTCTTATTTAAAAGAATGGAATCGAGCCAATGAGTATACAGTGGTAAGAATGTTTCATAAGTATAGAAAAGATTATTCAAAGTTGATATCTGATTGTTTTACAGTGTATGTGAAGTAAAATAGAACTTAAGTAAATAGTAATAAACAGATAATGCTTGATAGATTTATCTTAATAAAATAATAAAAGAAAGAAATATGTGTATAAAATGTAATGTTGAAGGCATCAGTATCCAACAAATCAATTGAAACGTATCACAAATCGGTTAATTGATAGGATTCTGTGATAAACGAGTCAACCTGATAAACTCAAGCTTCTTTACACCAATGTTAGTGTTTACAACTACTTTCTGTTTGTGATGAGACTGATATGGATTAGAATTACAGCAGAATCCACAGTAATGGTAAGTTGTATAGTACGCTGCAAAGTTATAAATCATGACTGATTGATGTGATTGGGACATATATTACGTATTCCCAACACCACCTATCTCCAAGAGCTATATTTGCTGAAGTCAACTGAAATAAAGCTAGGAGCGATCAGTTAGAAACGGTATCATATCATGAACTTATTGATCTGGACCTTGTAGGACTATCCATTTGGTATCCGTGCTATTATTGTAACCAACAGTTAGAAATTTTGAGTGACTCAAACGATGGCACAAATACATTCACTCTTTATCCCAACCTAAATTTCCAGCTTCAGTACTCTTTCATACATATTTTTTTCTTCTCAGCTTTTCGAACAATATTTTCTATGCTTAGTGTTCCTGCTCATCATAGCTACTAAATTATTTCGGTTATTTTGTTGTTGATCTTGTCGTACTAATGTGTTATGGTAACTTATGCTAACAGATATTTGTGCTGATGTGCAAGGTGTTGCAATAGTTCTGCATTCTTCTTTATCATTCGACAATTGGTTGATAGATATATGACACATATATGAAAAAAAAGCACTGAATACTCTTGAAATATTAAATAACAAGTTTTTAATACGATTATGATTAAGGTATTGATGCTTAAAGATTGTTCAGAATAAAATGAACTATCATCACTGATTGATGTCTGCTGTATAACCAACTAAAATGAGAAAGAACTCGGAAGTCATTTCATTCTAGCTTAAGATTCCCTTAAACAATCGACAATCAAAACATAAATAAGTGTCAACCTTTGGTCATTTTCGGTTGTGCATGATCACAGTACTATTCCAAATCATAATAAGTTATAGATCAATATTTATTTATTTATTTCGAAATCAAATCAATTCTCAGTACTGTGCAACCGCCATCAATTTCTGTGGTTGAACTCCAACGTTTACAAGTTTTTCGTTAAAACTTCAGGATTCGATTGTGAAGCTAGTAAATAGTGAGCATTGAGTTATTTTTATGTTAACCAATTTGTAAAGATTATTTACATTAAAAAAGTTAATGGATACTCACTACATATAGAAAAAGCTTTTTAGTACTATCTACATTCGCGTCGTTCTCTAGCTCTAGTGTGAGACAAATAAAAGCACTGGACGGCCGTTTCGTCCTAGTATGGGACAACCAGGTCTGTTGTGAGATATCAGCTCACTGAAGACAATGGTATATGTTGGCGCAACTTCGTGGATTGGTTGAAGTTAGACATTAACACCGTTGGATGCCGGATCAGTGGTCTAATGGTTAAGTGCTCGCGCGCGAAGCCAGTAGGTCCTGGGTTCGAGCCTCGCGTGGTGGGGGCCGTGGATGCGCACTGCTGAGGAGTCCCATACTAGGACGAAACGGCCGTCCAGTGCTTCCAGGTTTTCAATGGTGGTCTAGCTTCAATTGACTCATGATTTCAATCTGCGGAAATTTCTAAAAATCTCCACAAACCCCTTCTGAACATAAATAAAAGTTAATTTTAAACTGTATAGATGTATTTTCTTTTTCCTGATATTACGTAAGAGCTATTTCAAGTCAAAAGTCACTTATCTGTAGGTGCATAAATTTTACCTGATAAGTCTTTAACTTTATACATCGAATAAACCCTATTTTACATATACATATGTTAAAGCTGGTTAGCTAATAGACATGTAATGATGTGATCTGACTAATTAATTTTGAATCAATTCATTATCTATTCCAGTCGAGCAGACTTATGTATGAATAATATAATGGAATTCAAGACACATATTTAGTTCTTTGTGAAACATTTTGGCTGAGTTTACCTGGGTCCCAGTGTCAATGTTCACGCTGAGACTCAAAACTAATACCTTTAGTTCTGAACGTCAGCATTGTTAGGCACAATTCATCCTTATAATCAATGATACTACAAAAGTAATTTGGTCAGGATATACAGATATCAAAAGAGATTGATTCATACAGTCCTTAATATCAAAAACGGGAAAAAAACTAAATCCATGCATAGATATGATCGATATGCTTCTGATAACTTTGTACATGAGTATTTTGAATTGTATTATTTTTCAAGTCATATGATCAGTTTTAGATTCATATCTATTAATCAGATTACTTTATACTGATCAATGAAGTTCAACCACATGGAGTGTAAGTCAGTTACTAATCATTAAGATTGAAAACGGCTGTGTAATATTAGGAATTAATTTCAATTAAACATATAAACCATTGTATAACAACTTAGTGATCTAAACACTAATCGTTCGCTATTAAACTAAAAAAAAACCTGGATTCAATCTCCAGTATGTTGGTGAATGTGTACTGCTGAGAATGTTTATTTGTCTAACTAAGGTCAGTGTGACCAAAAAGAAAGATGTTCCATTCCATATAATAGGTATGATTTATAAATCACAATCACAAACATCTGAACAACAGAATGATGTTGACTTGTTGATAATTTCAATGATTGAAATCGTGAATCATTTGAAGCTAGATCACCATGGGAACCCTGGTAGCACTGGACGGCCGTTTCGTCCTAGTATGGGACTCCTCAGCAGCACGCATTCACGATCCCGCCCCCCCGCGAGACTCGAACCCAAGACCTATCAGTCTCTCGCACGAGCGATTAACCATTAGACCAATGGGCCGGTATCCAACGGTGTTAATGTCTAACTTCAACCAATCCAGGATAATAATCCAAGATAATTAATTTATGTGAACTAAAGATATGACTGACATTTCTAACTTCAAGTTTATCATAACAAACTACTTAAATAATCAATTAGGAAAAAGTCTTTCTTCTTAACACATGAAAATGGGTGGGTGATATAGCATTATTTGTTTGTTTACTTCAATTGTGCCATTTTCATTTCGAAAATTTAAAGTATAATAAATGGAGCTTTAAAAAATATTAATAATAAACAAAAAATATACAAATAAATAAATAAATGCTGTTGCTGCGGCAACCAACAGACTTATTGTTTTAAAATACTAAAAAAAACAGTAGAATTATCAAACTCGTTCGATGATTATTACAAAAATAATGGGTAATTATATGAACAAATAAAAATCTATACTTATCAGATTATATTGAATGATTATCCGAGTTGTAATCAGTATTTTTTTTATTGAGATCATGAACCGATTGATGTCAGATCACCATTGAAAACCTGAAAGCACTGGAAGGCCGTCCCGTCCTATTGTGGGACTCCTCAGAAGTGCGTATTCACGATTCTGTCCTCGGGAGTTGAACCCAGGATCTTCGGTCTCTGGTGCGAACGCTTAACCTCTAAACCAGTGAGCAGTCATCCAATGGCGTTAATGTCTAACCTCAACCAATCCACGAAATTGTGTGACCGTCTTCCATTATACTGAGGTATATACCTGTCTTTACCTGACACGGATTAGCTCCAGTGGTCATGGTTTCTCACTAGAACTTCGAGAATTCCTTCACTTTGCTAGTCACTAGTGAGTACATGGTATTTTTTTAATCTAGTGTTTAATACTAAACTAATTTCTATCGAACAAGT